CAAAATTGATCTCTTAATTACGTCCAATTGCGTCCTGCAAAAATTTTTGGAATCGGATATAACCAGCAAGAGTTATGGACTGTCAAAGTTTTGGACAGTACTACTTGTGGACCAATATTTTTTTGCCCAAATCCTATCATGCTATATATCAAAACACGCCTATTTTTTCTCAGCAGCTTAAATCTGATGGAATTATTTAAGTCCAATTCATTTTGGACCTATGGCAGTTCCAGTTCCATCTCGTACTTGAATATCACCAAGTGTTCAAAAGTTGACTAGCGGCATGTTGTATATCAAAAAATATCTTTTTTTTTGTCAGTGTTTCTAATCTAACGGAATTATCTTAGTCCAACCTGTAGTTTTGGACATATGGCAGTTTCAGTGTATTTTAACCTGTACCTGTATGTATCGAAAATTTTACTTTTAATTTTGGACTTTAATTTTGGATTATAAAAGAGTGAAGTATGCCTGAAATTTCTGTACATTTTAAACTTTTACTTTTCATTAAGAAGTTTTAATTATTCAATTTTCTAGCCAAATCTAGAAGATTAACTTTAATTTTTGCTATAATTCTCAATCTAATGAAGATATAAAAATTCTTAGTATATGTTAATTTTTATAAGCAAAGTACTTTAAGGAGATCACACTTTAGATCTCTTAATAACTGTTAATAACCTTAAGCGTCTGGAGATATTTCCGACAAACTGAAGTGGATAATCCCAAATCGAGGATAATCCACTTTAGTGAAACAGGCCATTGAGGCTTAACTTTAACTTGTGCATTTTTTGAAGCCATGATTTTTCATCTTTTAATTTAAAAAAAAAAACAAATAGTTTGTTTTATCCTAAAAGTCATCATATAGTTGCATAATTTAAGTTTTATAACAAAACTTTACCATTCCATTCTATTCTAAAGGTGATATACTTGCTATACTTGTAAGTCGACCAAATTTTCTGCTTATTGAATTTAACACGAAAAACTTTTCGTATCTATCAATAAAAATTTTTTTAAAAAGGATTTGAGATTTTATAGTTAAAGTTTTGGTTTTTTTTTTTCGCGAACACTCATTTGTTTTTCTAGTTTTCAGTATATAGAAAAATAAATGCCTTAAAAAAATTGTAGTCATTGCATGTTCTTATATGTGTCGTACAAACTAAAATGAAAATAAATGAATTTGAATAAAAGGTTGTTTTTTTTGTTGCTATCCTTGTTCTATTGAGAATTTTGTATTTTGGCAATGTATTGCTGTGTCAAATGAGATCATTAAATGTAGATTTATATACGATCAGGGAGCAGTAGCTAGATATTAGTTGGAAGAATAACATGTAGTATTGAATGTAGAAAGGTCATTTCTATGTGCACGAATCACTTGAGAATGTATTCATTATGCAGCCTTCAATAGCACTCACAAAAACAAGTCGATCCATTTTAATTGACATTTTATAATTGCATATATTCTGTTTCCACAACACTCTCTTTCTATACATAGGGCATCAGTAACATACAACACTCAAAACACCAAAGCACTTAATTACAATTTTCATACGACAACAATAACAACAACGTCGTACGAAAATTTCCATTTTACTGTGGTTTTAAAATTTTCTCCATCTATAGAAATATTTCTTTCATGCATCAGCAAAATAAACATTAGCTTGCAGAGAGACTATGCATGTTATTTATCCTTGTAGCATTACGATATTGAGAGCAAGAAGAAGCATAAGACTGTTGTGATCTTTTCATCAAAAAAGCAAAATTTCTTCTTTGTCAATCATTTCTCTTCCTTTTATCATTAAATTCATGAATATTTAATTTCGTTAAGTGAAAAAACACTTTTGACCAAGCACTCCTTAATACTAACAATGAACCATTCTTCTTTTTGCCATATTTTCTTTGTAACAATTCCATTTTCGTTTCCCCAAAGAGTATTCTCAAGCTCGAGAGCCAGCGCAAACATATCAGATTGTATACAACAGCGATTTATTGTACACAACAATACAAGGATATTTAACAGGCTTCAACCCTAATTTTAGCTAATTTTGTTTCTTTTTTTTACCTTGTTGTACATGCTCCTAAGTTACATTCTTGTTCATTTCATTTGAAATATTGTTGATGTGAATTTTCAACACTTTCTTTTTTATGTTCAAACCGCATTTAATGATGATTTTTTGGTCCACAATTTTCACATGATTTTTGAGCAGTAGAGCGAGAAGAAAGGATAGAAATAGACAGAAAATGAGAGAAAAAGTTGAGAAAAAAAGGAGTCATAAATAAAATTTCCTTTTTTATACTGAATAAGATCCTAAATTTTGTGAGTACATTTTACGGATGATACAAAATTGCCCATTTTCTCGTATTTTGAGAAAGCAATCCACGTATTATTGAGGCAAACGTCTCTACAGGAAATGGAAATTGCTGGCGGGGATCAAGCCAAAATTAAGGGTAAATAGGTGTACATACTGATCCAAAAAAAAAGGTATCATTATGAAAAGTAAATTTCCGTCGTGGTTTTATATCACACTTTATGGCAAACAAGCACATACAAGCTTCGTTACAAGTGATGAAATACATTCTTATTAAAAATTATCATTTTTTTTTCTTCGCTTATGTGTGTAATGATGATGTGTAGTATAATAAAAAGTCCCTTATGTCTGAGACGAGCTTCCTCAAATAAAATTTTCCAAAAGTTAACAACATGACTTTCTTTATTTTACTTCCTCATACTTCACATTTTACCTAATAAATTTTTTAGTCTACTCCCTACTTTTTTTTGTCTTAGCGATAATAAAAAAATATATGCTTATGAGTGCATTTATAGGTAGGTAGACATAAATTTTTATTACATTATGAAAATTATATAAGCTGACTTTATCACTACAAAATCGGAAAGGCTAGATTTTTTTGTGAGAATTCATGATTTTTAACCTAAGATAACCTAATTCTGTATAGGAATTAAATATCTTTGAGTATACTAGGGGTCCTCGATTTGAGTAGGTGTTTTGTTCCAAAAAAATTCTACTCAAATCGAATTATTTACTTTTTGTATGAAAAATGTCCGTTACAAAATAATATTTTAAATTTTCTATTCATTAATTCTCGTTACTCAAATCGAATCTACTCCCAAAATGCTGGTAATCATTTTGACAAAATTGTTTCAAAATTATCAAAAAAGGAAGAAAACAAAAAAATCATCTTAACTAATCGTTGTATATTATAGAATATCTATATGTACCCAAACCATTCGATCTCAAAGATTCTCAAAGTTTTAAGCAATCAAGGATCTTTAATATCCAAGACGCATATATTATATCATTTTATCACGGACACATTCTTCAATGATATTTTGCTATAAAAATGCTTAAAATTATATTTCCTCCAACAAATAGTAAGGTTTTGAATTAAGTCATTGAGAATGGTTTATGTATTTGATAAAGGAACTAAAATAGTCATGTGTGCTTGAATCAAATATTTTATAAAAACTCAATGTTCCTCAAAATATTAGCTACTTATTTTAATGAATTTTCTTCTTAGACGTGAAATGGAAATTATGGTTGCTGTTAATTAAAGTAAATATCGCAGAATATAATTAGCAAAAATTTGCAAAGTATTTCCTTATTTTACTGATTTATGATGCTGATAAAACTCTATTAAACATTATAAGCAATTAGATTTTTGGGACGTGTTTTTGTTTTATAATATTTTTAAAAGTTTTTTAAACTTGATAAAATGCCATAGAAAGCAGAACTTCATCATACATTCATGGGGAAAGAGCTTAGCATAACAATACTGTAGTGGAAATGAATTTTTTATTGAGAATGCTTCAAAAATTTAATGAAAAGAACATTTTCTTTGGTCATTGCGCATATTCCGTAGTCAGGGCATGGAAAATTATCTCTGAAATCAAAAGATTAAGTTTTCAAAAATGATCATTAGTAGTTGATTGTCTGTTGATCATTCTAGATTTTAATTAAAATATTTTTTTTTTAATATATTTATTTATTTATTTACTCTTCTTTCATATATTTATATATATGTATGTATATGCGTTATATACTTTATTTTGACACCTACCAATTATCGTAGATTTGTATCCGATTTTTCAAATATTTGATTAACATTAAATAACGAAATTTTGAATGCAATGTATTATATACAAGAACAGCAACATTAGTTATTTGTCTTTTGAAAAAAGAAATCATATTCTCCTTCTGATAATAGTGTTTGAAAATTGAATGGAATAAATTATAAAAAAAAAGTTCATTTAAATAGCATTGATTGACTTCTTTTCAAAAAGCTTTAAAATTGGAAGAAAATTTTAATCAATTTCCCAATGATTTTGAAGCAATGATGCTGTTGATAAGAAGTTAACCTTAGTAATTTAAATGTCTTTACTCTCTATTACAAATATTCAATTTTTTAAACTTTTTTTTCCTAATAGGCTCCTTTAAGGTAAAACTGTTGGTATTCAGACATTAATATCTTGGATTTATTGTGTGTTAAGGAACACATAAAGGAAATATCTGAATTGTAATGTGCATTCTGATGAAGATATGATAAATATGCTCTTTGAGGTGATGATATCCTTAAGTACAGCTAATTTAGTTGCAAAGTAATAGAATTATTAAGTTAAATCATACCATTCTGATGTTAAGCTTTGAATGCACAACAGTTGATTAATATCTAATACATAGTTATATATAATTTTACATCTAGCTAAAAAGCTTATTTTGATTGTGGACTAAAAAGCATCTAAGTAAGAAATCGCTGTCTCAAAAATTTCAATCAACATTTAAATAATACTTTCATTCATATTGTTCCTTGATTCCTTGATGTATCATAATTAAATTTTCATATGTTTTGAAAGAGGTTGAGTACATTCCCATAAATTTAATTATTTTAAGATTTTTTTGGTTTGAATATTTGTAATATTTTTTTTAATATATAATGTGCTCTAAAAACTAAAAGCACTAATATTTCAAAACTGATGTTAAACAACTAGAATTCAGTTGGATAATAATTTTTTTGCGATCTCAAAATATTTTTTTTCACTAATTTATAGAATATTTAATTTCAAAATTATTGTGAACAATATAGTATGTTGTATGGTATAAGATATAAGCTATATTTTCTCGTACATAATACATAGATTTATAATATCCAGAAAAAAACGGAATGCAATGTTTTTATGAAACATGTTTTTTTTTTGATAATAAAGGAAACTAAAACAGAAATATTCATGCTATTACTTACATATCCTTCATTTCTTTCTCACGAGAATTTAAATTGAACAGAAATTTATTTTTGAAATCGTATTTTTTATCGCATTTGTTACTGCATATTATGATGATAAATTTTGTAATATTAATTTTTTTTTGTTTTGCACAAACTTAATCTGTGAATTTACGACTGGTGTTCATGCCAAAGAGTGCTGTACGGATAGCAGGAACTAATTGATGAGCAATCATTTCCAGGCGAGACTCAAGGGTATTGACAACCTTTGATTTTTAAATAAATTATGTAAAAAATAAGTCTTGTAAAATGTGATGAATAAAAAATTATATTAAAGTAATTACCCTAATACGTCCTTGAAGAGCATATAATTCAACGCCTCCCGTAGAATCAGCAGGTAGGAAGTTGTCTGTATCGAGAGTAACAACAACATCTTTGCCAGTTTCTCGCTTGTATTGTTCTACGGATGATGGAAGTGCATTTTGAACGAGTTGTGCATCACCTTGACGTGCACGAACTGTGACATTTGCTTCCATGATTTGATACAGTCCTTGTGTGATGAGGGCTTGGAGAATTGTCGAATATCTCGACCCATCTCTGGTGACTTCTCCTAAGCGTCTTCTGGCTTCATCGAGAACAGCACGTACATGATCCTCTCGAACTTTCAACACTTTCAAACGAGCTTGATTCAACATATTTGATGATTGAATCTTCTTTTGTAGCTCAACTTGTTTCTCCTTCTTCTCGTAATATTCCATAATCTTAATACGTTGTTGTTGTACTAAACGACCTTTCTCAATATTAAATTCTTCCTCAGCTTTAGCATCGATTTCTTCGGCTTTCTCATTTGCTTCTTGCTCGATGAAAGCCATCATATGCTTAATCTAAAACAGAAGTATCCCAAAAACATTTTAAATAAATACTTTATAAAAATATGTCTACAGATATATCATGTAAACATGAAGGGAAAGAGATAGCAATACATTTGTGTCATGTGACTGAATTTTTAAGCAATTTTTTTTTTATATTTCCAATCAGAATTCTTTTTAAACCAATAAATAATTAAAAATGCTAATATTTAAATCATTAAATGTGTCTTAATATATTAAATTAAAAAGTCCGACTTAATGAGTCAAAAAACAAAAGTTATGAATTTTTGTTCACATGATTTAAATCTCGTGACTCAATTTTTCACTTTTTTAATTTTAAATTCTTCTTTTCAAAGTTCAACTTGCTTGATTCAAAGGCAAGTTGATGTTATGAATTAGGACTTTTCTGAAGTGCTAAGGATAATGTAAATCAACAGCTATCCTTAATATTGATCGTTTTGTCAAATTTGCATAACTTAAGTATTAATTTAGGTATGAAAAGAGCAAATAACTTAATTAAGTGGTAAAAAATGTCTTTAGTTGTCATTAAGTAATCCAGACAATCATAAAGTTGATGAAATTTATGAAAATTTGTAATAATTTTTTAAAAAATTCGTCACAAGATATAATCGTCATAAAATGATAATAATTAAAGCTTAATTTACCTGTTTTTGAACATCAGCATCGCTAAGAGCCATTTTTGCACGATTTAATAAAGGTTTAAGCCTAGAAAATTAAATATTACGATATTACCACAAAATTTGTTTGAAATTGAAGAGCTCAGAGAAAAATCTGAAAATTTTCTTCGTTGTTCAGAGGGAGGAAAACTGTGTGTATGTAAAATGTAGAATTTAAAGTCAGTGATTGCAATATTTAAGTTTAAAAATGAACGAAAATCGGTAATGCTCGTTAAAAATAATTTTAAAAAATTGAAAAATTCAAATGATAATAAAATAAAAAGGTTAAAATGAATATTGGAAATAGTTTTAAATACAAAAGTAATTATGAATTTTACGAAGATATGGTAAGTATATATTTTAATTAAATATACGACTGATGTGCGTTGAGACTTAACGAATCGTAAAAACTCATTTTTCTTTGGACAAATTTTCTATACATTCATTTCTTCACCATTTTTTTGCTCGTCAAAAAATTATTATTGAAAAAAATAAAGGAAAAACCTTAAAAAAGATTGTTGGAAAACAGGACAGTCCAAATCATTTGTCGTTAATTGAATAAGGATTTTGTATTTAAGCTAGTATTTAATATAAATTGGTGATTATAAGTGTGTAAAAAGCATAAAATATTAAAAATAGGAAAACTTATCAACAAAAGAAAATTTTATTGCATTACATGAAAATTTTCTTAAATTTGGATCTGTCGTGCTTAGTTTTATGAGTTTATTACCGTAAGTGACATATTATTGTCTCACAAATGATTCTATGGACCTTTCTATGCAAACAATACGCGATTTTTGGTGCTAATTGGACTTTTTTTTCTGCACACAGAAATCCCTAATGTCTGCTTATGATTTTGTGAAAACATTTATACGTCTATTTCCAACATTATTTCAATTATAATATCAAAAACTAAGTGCTCTTAATGTAATTAATATGCATTTGCTAAAAAGTTGATGAAATTTGTTTAATTATAGTGAGATTTCTCTATTAAAAAAGAGCATCTTATTGTGCAAATTTCTCTTTATTTTGCGTTTTATAGCCAGTATAGGCAAAATAAATAAAACCAGAGAACTTTATTTACTCACGTTGATTGTGGCACTATTTGATTGTGATTTATTTGAACATTGATATAATATAAGATTATTAATTTTTATACATTTATTTACAGTTCATGGCGAATTTAAATTTTCAACAGCCGCCCAGAATTCCTTCAGCATCATTAACTCGAAACACGAACAGTAGCTTCTCATCTAGCTCTATTTCGGGAAATGTTACGCCAACGTCGTCACTAATGTTTCAAACGCAGCAACAAGGCCCGAATAATTCCAATTTCGTATCACAATCCGGTCAACAACAACTATCGCCAAATCGACTTGGTGCCGGGAGTATAGTAGGAAGTACTGGTGGTCCTCAAATGAACCGGAGAATATATCAAAATCCTTCATCAATTCAACGAGGAAGTAGTTTTGGTTCAACAATGAGTATGGGTTCCTTTATGCAATCGCAAGCAGCAAGATATGGATCTCAAAGTGGGAATAGTGGCATTAATAATTTTCAATCAGTCTTTGGCTCATCATCAGACACCCCGCCAACGCTTCTTGACATGAGTGAATTTCCATCCTTAACGAATGCTCGCGGGCAAAATGATCAACATTCAAATGTACTTCAAGCACCAGGTAGCAAAGCATATGGTAAGCATTACCAGTTAGTTTTCTGTATGATTATGTCAATTTTTGAATCGTCTTCATTTCAGTTGGAATGGTGAAACAACCGACTTCAGAACAAACAGAATTTCAGATGTCAAGTGAAGACTTTCCAGCTTTGCCGGGTACGACGTCTTCGGATAATGTAGGTGTTGTTGGTAGTCATGCATCAAATCAGCAGTCTGTTTCATCAGTGATTGGCTCCTCCGGAAGTGGTCATCATCAAATGAGCATGAGCATGCTAGATTCCAATTCCATGGGTGGTGACAATAAAAACTCGATTGGATCAAATCTTTGTATGGACATGATGCAATCAGAGACTGTGACGGGAGGACAGCAAATGGGAAGTGGACATATGTCAAATAATGTAAGTGAAAAAGCAAAACGTGGCGTGCAGACATCACCGAATGGTCTCGTAACAAACATACCGCCAACAATGGTCAACAATCAATTTGGCATGATTGGTTTGCTCACATTTATACGCGCGGCAGAGTCTGATCCCAATTTGGTGTCGCTTGCGATGGGCCAAGATTTAACGGCACTAGGATTAAATCTAAATTCAATGGAAAATCTTTATCAAAGTTTCGGTGGACCATTCTCAGAATCACCAGCTCGACCACAAGATATTGATTTCCCCGTTCCATCAGAGTATTTAATTAACGTAGCAATTCGTGACAAACTTGCACAGATGAAAATGAAACAGTACAAGGATGATTTGCTTTTCTTTCTCTTCTACACTAACTGTGGCGATGTGATGCAACTAGCAGCAGCAAATGAACTGTAAGAGGAGTCTTTGTTGTCAATATACATATATGCAATGTTTTAATATTTTTGTTTGTTCTTATCATTTTAGCTACAATCGAGATTGGCGGTATCATATTGAGGAGAAAATATGGATAATGCGAGTACCAGGCCATACAAATTATGACAAGAGTGGGACTATTGAAAGAGGCACTTATTACTATTTCGATGCAACTAATTGGCGTCGCGTGCCCAAAGAATTTCAAATTGACACGAAGAAATTGGAGACAAATCCTCCTCTAGCTATGTCGTAAAAATAAATCAAAAAAAAAATTATGTGGTTTTTAATCTTTTCTGTTTTCTCAACTTGTCTCCTATCCGATTTTTTTTATCATTATTTTTCTATTATCATCCTGTAATCCTTACGACCCTGCTCCTATCTATTTTCACAACAACAATCCTAGATCCTCTCGAAATTATGTTTATGTTCCTTTAAATCAAAGATTAAAAAACGACAATTTGTAAAAAATGAAAGATAAAACGTAAAACATCCCTTGAACTTGAATGCATTATGAGGTAAATTTGTAATGCCTAACATTAAGAGAAAAATAAAAAGAAAAAATCTCAAAAAGTTTAACAGAGAATTTTTTTTTGTGAGTGTTGATTTCGCATTTCAACAGTAGTGTTTACAAAATAATATTGCGATCGTTCAGATTCGATAATAGGCAGAGATTGTGCTCAGGAGAGCCTACTCTAACTACAGGATGCAAATCTTAGTGTACTCTTAAATATACTATGAGCACGTCTATTGCTTACGCACTTAAAATTTTTAAAAACTTCGATGACAAAACTTTTTTTTGTTTATACAAAAGTTCAATTAAAGTATAGGTACATCTAAATGAGTTCATTAAAACAACAAAAAAAAAATATTTAATTGAAAATTATGCTCAGAGTGTGCGATGGTGAGTATGCTTTTAGGCATGCATGTGTGACGGAGAAACAAAGTGATCTCTATTATTTAAGTATATCTGAAACTTGGAACCAAGATCCAGTAAAGTTTCAATCATGTCTGAAACTTATAACCAAAATCCAATAAAATTTCAATCATGTATGCACCAAATTACCAAGATCCAGCAAAGTTTTAAGAATGTCTGAAGCTTAAAAACAAGATCCAGTAAAGGTTTAATCATGTATGAAGCAATAAACCAAGATCCAGTTAAGTTTTAATCATGTCTGCAACAAATTATTATAATTCAATAAAGTTTTAAGCATGTCTGAAACTTGGAACCAAGATCCAGTAAAGTTTTAATCAAGTCTGCAACAAATTATTATAATTCAGTAAAGTTTTAAGCATGGCTGCACAAATTAACAAGATCCAGTAAAGTTTTTAAGAATGCCTGAAACTTAAAACCGAGATCAAGTAAAGTTTTAATCATGTCTGAAACTTAAAACCTAGATACAGTTAAGTTTTTATCATATCTGAGATTTAAAAATAAGATCTAGTAAAGATTTAATCATGTCTGAAACAATAAACCTAGATCCAGTTAAGTTTGAACCATGTTTGAAACTTGAAAACAAGATCCACTAAAGGTTTAATCATGTCTGAAACAATAAACCTAGATCTAGTAAAGTTTTAAGCATATCTGAAATTTGGAACCATGATCCAGTAAAGTTTTAATCATGTTTGAAACAATAAACCAAGATATAGTTAAGTGTTAATCATGTCTTCAACAAATTATTATAATTCAGTAAAGTTTTAATCATGTCTGCAACAAATTATCATTTTGTTTTTTTTTTGAAACGTGGAACCAAGATCCAGTAAAGTTTTAATCATGGCTTGAAACTTTAAACCAAGATCCAGTTGAGTTTTAATCATGTCTGAAACTTAAAACCATGATCCAGTTGAGTTTTAATCATGTCTGAAGCTGGAAAACAAGATCCAGTAAAGGTTTAATCATATCTGAAACAATAAAACAAGATCCAGTAATGTTTTAATCATGTCTATAACAAATTATTATAATTCAGTAAAGTTTTAAGCATGTCTGAAACTTAAAACCAAGATCCAGTAAAGTTTTTAATCATGTCTGCAACAAATTTTCATGATTCAGTAAAGTTTTAAGCATGTCTAAAACTTGGAACCAAGATCCAGTAAAGTTTAAATCATGTCTAAAACTTGAAATCATGATCCAGCAAAATTTGAGAAAAGTTCAAAGTAGGCTTTGACAATTTTAATTTCAATTTCAATTTTTTATAATTAAGAAATAAGAAAAATTTCTTAGTGGGCTTTGACAATTTGTTGAAATTGAGAGATCATTGTGAAAAATTGGTTAAATGATTTAATTTGTCATTAAAATTAAATCCAGTCCACTAAAATTGAAATTGAAATTGTGCTATCGTTGGAACCAAGATCCAGTAAGTATATATTTCCATTATGATACAAGGGCAATTCTTTGGATGACTTTTGGAAAAAATTTCAGCAAAAAATCGAAATTTTATTCATTTTTCCCATTAGAGACACTGATTTTATGATTCTTATCGATGTAAAAATCTAAAATGAACACTACTTTTGATATCATATACTTCTAATCGCTATATTAATTAAGTTATTTGGATTCTTCGGACAATAACTCGATGACAGAAATCGGAATTTTCAATTTTCACCATCCGAAGAATCGAAAATTAGAGAAAACTATTGATATCCACATTGAATAACTTTTATTAAGTTATAGAAGAGGCAAAAATCTTTAATTTAGTTGCTTTTCCATATGCTTTAAGTCATTAATTATTGAAATATTTCAATTCTTTGAAAAATTTTCTTGTGTCAACGAGGTATAAAAAAGCTTTTTTTTTGTCTTAATCCGTGAAAAACTACAAAATTTTCAAACATATTTTTTCAATTTTGCACTTAATTTGGGTGAGTTGTAACATTTCAATAGATCACTTGTAAAGATTTAATTATGTTTAATGATCTACGAAAATTCAGGCTTATTATTCCTTCGTGGTAATATGAAATTAAAGAAAACATTTTATTGACACAAAACTCATTGACATTGGATTATGAAAGCTCATTTTTTTCAAATTCCACTCATCCAAAGAATTGCCCACAAGTAAAGTATGAATTCAATAACATAGATCCAGGAAGCTGAATCTTGTGAAGGAACTCGCTAGTTCCAACATTTTTTCACAAACATTTAACTTAATGCATACTGTCACAACCATTTTATTAATATCAAACTACTACCAACAAATATTTCCGTTGTAAACAAAAAAAATATATGTTATGTAATAATCGGTTAAACTTTTTCCATACAAAAATGTTTATGCATCTTTTGCCTCACTGGAAGCATCTTATGACTCCAAAAACAATACAGTTCTTGCGATAGCCATTATCTATCAGAAGCGAGAAACCGAAAGTCTTAATATTGAGTTTCAATCGAGTTATCGCACCGATTAACTAACAGAATGCCTTTTTTTGCGATTTTTCGGAACTGGAACTGACGAATGAAAAATTGTTTTCACCATTAGATAGGTATTTCGAGGCATAAACTTTTACATATGAGGTATTTGGGTTGATTCCGCAAGCCTGAAGCAGAAAGTTAAAAAAACTGATTTTCCAAAAAACCAAAAACAATATATTCACAACAATTGAAAATTTTGTGTGAATATGATTCATTTATTACAGCATAAATACACGATTTAAAGACTTTTAACCATTCGATGGGCCGATTAATCGATAGTAACGGAGCTAATAAAACAAACTCGAGCTCTCTACGATGTCTGGCTAAAAAGTTTTTCTTCACAGCCGAACGAACAAAGTGCTTGAATAAGCTACCTTTTCGAAACATGTTTTAAATCAAAACCTTAATCAAAATTGCGTGGCACCACAAAATCCAGGAAAATAAAAATGTTTTTATAAAATTATAAAACATCAAAAAGTCTGCCATGATATAAAAAAAACCAAAATTTTTTATAATGTGTTCAAATTTCATCGTAAAATTGTTTCATACGCAATTTTTTTTTTTCGCTAGGTTATTTCATTGTAAAATAAACTTAACATTGAAATTGCTAATTTTGTGTCATAATTTTTTTACCCATTTCATCGTTTGCATACATTTTACATTGAATTAACAAGCTGATTGTTAAGATACAATAACGATTGTTGATTTTACAATGGTTAATGTTAAAACTTAATTTTAATTAATTTAATTAATGTTGAGTGTCGAAGACTTAGAAAAAAATTTATTAATCACTGTTTTCTTAAAGCTCAAAAAAGCAAAAAATTTGAAAAACTGATTTTTTTTGTGATATGCAAAAAAAAGTTTTTCTCAATATTTACAACAGTATTGTCCAAACTTTATTCTCTTATTTTTCTTTAAATCAACATTTTATTTTTGTCGGTGGTTTATTTTTTGGCTCTGCACTTCAGTCCATTTTATCTAGTGTAAAATCTACAAATTTCTGACAAACTACCTATTTTTGGGATTTTTAATATTTTTTCACGGCACACAACGCTACAACGGACAATATTGATTTACATGATACACTTTCTAAAATTTTTATATTCACACCGTTTTCACGTGTTCAGAGATGTAAAGTTTGTGCCTTGAATTTCACATCTTTTGCAAAAAACAGATTTCAAATTGGTTGCGGCATTGCTGAGAAAATCGCAAAATATGCTTTCTGTAAGCAAGCAAACAAGCAAACAAGCAAGTTAATCAGCAAGAAATCTCAATAACGAGACATCGTAGAGACTTCTAGTTTTTTACATTTGATCCGTGCTGCTCTATAGAAGAGCTGTATTGTTTTTGGGCAAGGTAGGAACAGCCGTTGCTTCAGAAATAGCAAAAAACTTTCCTTTCTTACGAATTTTTCAAATTAAAAGTTCACTGTGATTTTTTTTTTAAATTAAACTTTGGATGAAAAAAATTTTTTTTAGCAAAGAACCAAGGAGGAAATACATTTTCAATTTTGGACTAGGGGCGACCCTAGTCAAAATCAATTTTCTCACTTTTTTCTTCGAGGGTTTATCCAAATGGATTGAAACTTTGCATAAATATTCTAGTGTTTAAAACAAATACAAATAAAACATCCTAAAATGTTTTTGAGCAAAGAACCAAGTAGGAAATACATTTTCAAGTTTGGACTAGGGGCGACCCTAGTCAAAATCAATTTTCTCACTTTTTTCTTCGAGGGTTTATCCAAATGGATTGAAACTTTGCATAAATATTCTAGTGCTTAAAACAAATACAAATAAAACATTCTAAATTTTTTTTGATCAAAGAATCAAGGAGGAAATACATTTTCATTTTTGGACTAGGGGCGACCCTAGTCAAAATCAATTTTCTCACTTTTTTCTTCGAGGGTTTATCCAAATGAATTGAAACTTTGCATAAATATTCTAGTGTTTAAAACAAATACAAATAAAACATCCTAAAATTTTTTTGAGAGAAGAATCAAGGAGGAAATACATTTTCAATTTTGGACTAGGGGCGACCCTATTCAAAATCAATTTTCTCACTTTTTTCTTCGAGAGTTTATCCAAATGGATTGAAACTTTGCATAAATATTCTAGTGCTTAAAACAAATACAAATTAAACATCCTAA